AATAGGCAGTGAATGCAATGACTGATCTGATGTCCACTCTTGTTCCTTTCCCTGCCTCTCACCTGGATGTGTTAGTGTGCGCTTCGAAGGTGAAAATGGCAGCAAGAGAGGAAGAAAAGGTCTGCTGAGTATCGGAGCAGGTAAACAGAACTCGGCGAGGAGGTTTGGACATAGGTAGGCTAGAAGCTTGATAGGCGCATATCGTTGAGAAAGCATTGTCTTCTTTAAGCTTGCGACAGCGCTATCTTCTGCACCCTGAGAATCAGTAGATTGGACGATTTCCAGTAAGATCATTTTTGGAGCCCTAGGAATAAACTCCGCCACCTTTGATGTGGTACTGTGGCATATACCCACAGGGCAAACCTATACTGGGCTTTGTAATGTCGTGTCTTCTTTTTTGTATGTACTTTCCCATTTCCTTTTGTCTGTGTACAGAAAATAGTGAATTTATTGTGAAGTTATAGGTCCAAGAAGTTCCCTCTGTTTCTCTCTTAGTAAGGAAGAAGACCGATGGTCTTGGCATTGAACAAGTCCAACAGGATTATGACAGATCTCTTCTTAACTTCAAAGCACTGAAAGTCTTTGGCGACTCCTACATCCAGTAAAATGCGGCTCTGAGGTTATATTGTTAACAAAAGCTGCTTAAGTTTTTGCCTACCAGCCACTCTGAAGTAAATCTTTTTGGAGAGAGTTCTGACGCCTGATACTTTCCCGCATGAGCTGTTCTGGAAATGCACTTTACTGCTGTAATGGCAATTTAATTTCAGCTATTTCATCAGCCTGAGTACTAGAGGAAAACCCAACCAGCGCTCCTGGCACTTCTACAAGCTGTTCATGTGTTGAACGGAGTCTCATTTAACTGCTCGGAGATTGTAACTTCTTTTTCCACCCAGACCTATTGTTAATAGGCAAATGCACAATAGATTTACTTGCTCACTTTATAGGTTTTTTTTTTGGAAAGTTGGAGAATTGGTGTTCTAATATATATCACTGAATATTGAATTTTATGTCTTTTGGTAATAAAGCTAAAAATCAGAATTTTAGTCTGTTTAGACAAGATTTGTAACGTAACTTGCAGCTTGTTGCTGTGCTAACTCTGTGAAGCTGTCGCAGTGTAGTTAATGAGTTGATTAATTTAAACGCAGCTGTACAGTCTGGTCACTCATTTAACGTGTCTGTTACGTGCTGCCTCTGTATGAGGCATTGTGTTACTGGAGTTGGGACCGTGTTTGTGTGTGAGTGCAAATGTATGAATGACACAGTCTCTGTCCTCTATGTATCCCTGTGGGGTTTCAGAGGTGGTGAGGCCAGTACAGCTGAGGGCATTCTGAACTGGCTCCCAGTAGGATTTGCATTTGAGGTGAGCACCCAGTGATGGGCAGGATGAAGGGAAAGGCCATTCGTGAGCATGGACTTAGATGCTGATGGATTACTGGAGGGCTTTGAGCATGGTAGACTTTATTAGAGGTGATTTAAGAAGATCATTAGGGAGTAGTGTTTGGGATAGGTTCAGCGGTGCTGGGGAGTGCTGGGAAGGAACCAAGAAATATAATGTCACCCATGGAAAATTATATCTGTATTTCAGACGAGGGGTAGAAAGTGAGATTCAGAAATTGGGTTGTGTAAAGAGGAATGGAAAATTGGGGAGAGAGGTGAATTGTGGCAAAACAGGCAAGAATTGGTACCTGGTTGACTATGGGAGAGATGGAGGTGAAGAGAGAGAAGTCAGACAAGCTGTGGGTTTAAAGTCTGAGAAGGCATTGTCAGACTAGTGTGTCTGTGCGTTGTACCTCCTTGCTGGACATGACCTTGGCAGCAGGTAGAAACAGCAATGCCCAATCCTGTATAGGTTCTTAGTAAGGCTGGGCGGGTGGATAAGTGAAGGAAGGAATGGACAGCTGCTAGCAGGGTCTTTGAGAGAAATACACTGGAATGAGTGGGCATACTGCTCACAACTTTTCCTACCCAGAAGTAATTTTCATTTTAATGTTGTACAGCCGTTCTTTTGAAGTAGAAAGTTGCAGTCAAATTGTAGCTTTGTGAAGTGATAGACAAAAATTTTAAGGACTGAAGGATGTTGGCATTTTCAGAGTGGTAGATGACTTCTTTATATGTTATTTTCTCTTTCTCAAACATTTTCGCATGCTTATTCAGTTACCTTCTGTATTAGTTAGGATTAGCTTTGTTAGTTTGTTGTTCTGGGGTGGCTTGCATGTTGCTGTGATTCTAGATGTTATGCCACCGGTATTTCAGATACCAGGAGGGTCACCCGTAGTGGACAGGTTTCAGCAGAGCTTCCAGACTAAGACAGACTAGGAAGAAAGGCCTTGCAACCTACTGCTTAAAATTAGCCAGTGAAAACCTTATGGATCACAACAGAATATTGTCCAATACAGTGCTGGAAGATGAGCCCCCTAGATTAGAAGGCAGTCAAGATACACAGCGGTTGCAACAATGGACTTGAGCATACCAGTGATTGTGCAGATGGTGTAGGACTGGGCAACGTTTCGCTCCGTTGTACATGGGGTTACCATGACTTGGGGCCAACTCAATGGCAATGGACAATGACAGTTTTGTTTCTGGGTTATAGGCTACCCAAGTTTTAGCTGCTTACACATGGTAGCTTATTTTTCTCTCATGCAAAAATTCTTGTAGGGGTCCATGGCTAGTATGATGCTCCTTGGTGTCATGGACCTAGACCTTTTCTTTCTTATTACTCCATTGTGTGTTGCCTTGATGTAGATGACAGCATCCAAGACCTAGGCAGCAGTGTGGAGGAAGGTCCCCAGAAAGTTTCATTTTCCATTGGCCTGAACTTGGTGACAGGGCTACACTGAGCTGAATGGGGGACTGGAAGAGTAGACCTTCCAGGGTGCCCTGTGCCCAGCTAAGAATGGGGGTTTTTGTTGTTCGTTAGGTTTTTGTACTACCGTGGCTTATCCCATTGCATTGTCTCTAGCACTTGAGGAGCAAGAGGGACTTTTCCTATTAGTCATTATGTTAATTTTGTAATGTCCTGGTTAGCAGGACTTTATTTTATTCAGTTAAGTAGTATTTGTTGCATAGCTGCTGACTAGTGTGGAAAATAAAACGGAGCCCTGGTAGCACAGTGGTGAAGTGCTTGGCTGCTAACTGAAAGGTCGGTGGTTCAAACCCACCAGCCGCTCTGCCGGAGAAAAATGTGGCTGTCTGCTTCTGTAAAGATTTACAGCATGGAAAACCCTATGGGGCAGTTCTCTGTCCTATAGGGTCGCTATGAGTTGGAATCGACTTGACAGAAAGTGTGGGAAATAGCAAGAGATGGAAGATGTGGCCATTTTGGCTGTTGAGGAGAGAGAAATTATTGAGAAAAGACAAGTGACTGTGAAAAGATGCTTCTAAAATATTTTTTAAGAGATAGAAACTCAACAAGAACTTTTTTTTTTTGCTAGAATAGTGACTTACGTGAGCATTAATGACAAACCAAAACCAAACTAATCCCATTGCCATCAAGTCAATCCTGAGTTATAGTGACCTTGTAAGACAGGGTACAACTGCCCCATAGGGTTTCCAAGGTTGTAAATCTTTATGAGAGCAGGCTGCCACATCTTTCTCCTGCAGAGTGGCTGGTAAGTTCAGACCACCAACCTTTCAGTTAGCAGCTGAGCACTTAACTACTGCACCACCAGGGCCCCTTCATTAATGACAAGTATTGATATACTGATTTGACATGCAGGAGAAGAGCAGGTGAACCTCAGTGTCTAGCCAAGCTGGATAGATACTATCTCAACCGCTGTTTCGAGTTGACCTTGACTTATGGTGACCTTATGTACAATAGAACGAAATGGTGCCTAGTCCTGCGCCATCCTCACCATCACTGGCGTGTTTGAGGCCATCATTGCAGCGTTTATGTCAGTCCATCTCACTGTAGGTCCCCCTCACCCTCCTTGGCCCTCTGTTTCACCAAACATGATGTCCTTCTCTAGCGATTGATCCTTCCTGATGACATGTCCAAAGCAAGTGAATCAGGCAGTGTTCTATTTTGATCCACAAGGTTTTCATTGGCTAATTTTTGGAAGTAGATCACCAGGCCTTTTCTTCCTAGTCTATCTTAGATTGAAAACTCCACTGAAACCTGTCCATTATAGGTGACCCTGCCAGTATTTGAAATACTGGTGGCATAGCTTCCAGCATCATAGTGACATGCAAGTCAGCACAGTGTGACACATGACAGATGGGTGGCGATCTGACACACAGAAGAAGAAAAGCAGAATGAACCTAAATGTTCAGCCAAAGGACACAAAACACAGATGGGCAGAGTGAGGGATTTCGTTGGGCTTCCTTGCCATTAGTCTTCTGTTTACCATATGCCCTGTGCCAGCTGCAACTCCTGAAGGCCTGAGAATAGTCTTCATCTTTGAGTCCCCACAGCTAGCATGGACCTTGGCACCTGATGGCGATTCAGTCAGCGTTGATTGAGTCACTTCCTCCCAACTCCCATGTGTGGTGTTTGTACCACCAAATAAAACAATCAAAATGTCCGGGTTCTAAATGTGTACGAGTTTGGAGCAGTACTTTAGGGAGAATATTGAGAAGCTGATTGAGAAAGATAGATACCTCATAGCCATGAACTCGCTCACTCGCTCACTCTCGTGTGTGTGTGTGTGTGTGTGTGTGTTTATTAGGAGCCCTGGTGGCACAGTGGTTAAGAGCTACGGCTGTTAACCAAAAGGTTGGCAGTTTGAATCCACCAGCCACTCCTTGGAAACCCTACGGGGCAGTTCTCCTCTGTCGTGTAGGGTCACTGTGAGTTGAAATCGACTCGACGGCAAAGGGTTTGGTACAGGTTTTTAAATACACATTAAGCGTGTCCTGATGTGAATCAACACTTTAAGTACCTTTGGTAAAATGATAGCGAGGCCGTATGAAATTTTATATTGCAGATTTCGGGAAAGCAGTTGTTCTTGTGTGTGCTTTTATTTCTGCAGTTTCAGCAACCTTTATTTTTCCTTTTCCTTTAGAACTTTCTGTTACTTGATGAGATATCCCAGCACAACACTCAGCTGCCGTCAGATGGTAAAACGATAGTGCACGTGCAAGATTTTACTGCTTTTTGGGATAAGGTAACAAACCCTCCGTTACAAGATCGTTACAGCGAAGAGACGATGCCATTGATTGAGTGTAGAACTTTGAGTCCGTGATATAAAATGGGGCCTGCTCATTTAATGCTACGAACATTTTTATGCTATAAAAATTCCCAAAATAGGAAATAAAGATTGCAGTTAATAGAGATGAAGTATAAAATCAGCATACAACGTTTGACAAGTTGTTGTTCCTCTCATCTTCAAAAAAAATTGCAAATTGTTACCTTATTTTTAATGTACATAAGTTTAGACATTTGTGATGCCAGCATTTACGGGATTGGACGGACTAGCTGAGAAGTTTTTGAAGGATGGATTGAATGGGTTAACTAATAAATACAGTTATAACGTGTTGCGGATGAGAGGCTTTGAGGAAACAGTCCGTGTTTTTACCTTAATGTTGTCCGATCATCTTCCTGTGCATGGAGAAAGGCCCTTGATTTGGATTTTTGCTGCGGGATGAGGTGGAGCTCCCCTGTTGTAAGCCCTGGGAATGGTGCCGCCTTCTTTGGTGGTGGCAAGGGCAGCGAGGAGGCAACAGCTGGCAGAGCAAGCTCCATCGGTTCCTAACTCAAGGATTTCACTGTGTGGCAAGGTGGCAGGTAGAATAGGTGGCGCTTTTCTAATACTTGGTTTGTTTATGACATTCAGGCAGATGGGAGAAAGCACCACAGCCACTCTTGAGAAGCTCCCGGTCTTGCAGACTCAACACATCTCCTTTCTCTACGACTCAGTCTTTTCTTACCCGAGTCCATGGTCCTGTGTCAGGCTAGGTCTAGTCAGGAAAAGAGGCCCACACCACGTAGCTCGGGAGAGGCGATGTTGTGCAGGGAACCAGGTACAGTGGTGATGAGAGAGCGGAGAAAGAGTAGAAAGGGTACACCAACGGCGGGTGGTGAGGCACCCAGAGATTAGCAACGGTAGGGAGCTGCTGCTGCCACTAGGGATGAAGGGACATAGGGAGGAGGTGTCTACCAGAGGGCCACCTGGTGGGAGCAGAACCCAAGAGCCAGGTCTGCCGGCGTGAGTTGGGGCCACAGAGGGCGGGGCTGTGCGGTGGGCGCTGGAACTGTGGAGCTGACCCAGCCACTGTGGCAGAGGCTGCTTGAAACGGGTGGAAGGTGCTGGGAGGATACCAGCCTGTCCCCTGTCCTGCTTCCCAGTCTCTGACCAGTGCTGTCCCCGGCTGAACTTGAGTTTGCAAAGGGGTCTGGGAAATGAAGTTTGCAGGAGCTGATGCCCAGAGATTCTGCCATAAGAGTATGACAGGGGAGGGGCAGGGAGCCTTGCTGAGAGCGAGCTGGCCCTGGACCAGTGTACCTTCCCATCTCTCCACTCTGGTTCCCCCTAGTGGCGAGAACGTTGGTGGTGCAAATGTTGAAACTTGTGTGTCCCCAAGTTGATTCGGACTCATAGCAGCCCTATATGACAGAGGAGAACTGCCCCACAGTGTTTCCTATGCTGTGATCTTCACAGGAGCGGATCGCCAGGTCTTTTCTCCTGTGGAGTGACTGGTGGGTTTGAACTGCCAGCCTTTTGGTTAGCAGCTGAGTGCCCCACGAGGGCTCCTTTGAAACTCTGTAGACCCTCCTTTCTTTTCATGCCCGTGACTCCAAGTATTGTGCTGCCAGTGTCACGTTTGCCTGATTCTGATTTAATGCCTGCCATCTCAACCAACAGAATGATAGCGTGCCTCAAATATATAAAACTACGTCACTGTACCTTTTGTACGCTGAAACTCACACAAAAACTTCTCCCCGGCTTTTAATACGGTAGATTTCCCTCCCAGTTGGCATTTCCCATCATGGTAGACTTTAAGGATATGTAGAAAGCACCACTGAAGTTCTGTTATAGACGAGAAGACTCTCTGTGAATGCTGTTGTGCTAGATAAAGCACTCAGCTAGCTAACACACACATTGTGTGACCCATTGCTGCATTTCTTTGCGCCAAGCTACGCAACACTGTAAAGTCAGCTGTTTAATCTTTTTGCCAATCACTTAATAACATGTTACTACACTTCTCTGTGAAGCTTATATTGCAGTACAGAGTACCCCATTCTGTTTTCTTGGCCTTGCCTGTGGAATGATTATGACCTTAGGGTATAATTGGATGAGGTCTGCGTAGAACATGGTTGAGAGCATCCCTAGGTGGGAGTAGGGTGCAGACATGTGGGTGTTTTGGAGAGAAGCTGAGGGAGAATGAAGAACATGCTGGACTGAGAGGAGAAAGACACGGATTCATTACCAGCTCTGCTGGATAGTCAGGTGGATATTTTGGGAAAGGTTTCTCATTTTTGAAGCCCTGGTGGTGCAGTGGTTAAGCGTTTGACTGCTAACCAAAAGGTCAGCAGTTCGAATCTGCCAGCTGCTCCTTGGAAACCCTGTGGGACAGTTCTACTCTGTCCTACAGGGTCGTTAGGAGTCGGAGTCAGCTCAGCGGCAATGGGGTGGGGGATCACATTTATAAACTGAATGGGCTCGGCGGTCTCAGTCTCTGAGCTTTAAAGTGTATGGTCTTCTGGGAGCCTTTAAGCTCCATTTGGGCAGGGATTTTTGTCTGTCTTGTTCACTTTTAAGTCCCCAGGGCCTAGCATGGTATCTGGCACAGAGTAGGTTCTAGTTGGCACTTGTTGCGTCAGTGGATTTGTCCCTGTCTGTCCCACATGTCTGCAGAGCAGGGATAACAGAGGGGAGGGAACCATGCACCCCTGAGCTGTTGAATGCTGCCCTCTACTGGTGACATTAGAGCAGCGCTCCCACCCTGAAGTCAGCTGATGGGGAAGGAACCTACCCATCTGGGCAGGACAAGAAACTCTGAGGTGCGGTAGCAGGAAATTGGTTTTTGTTTGTGGCACATCATTTTTTTAGTTATAGCTTATTAAAAATTAGTAAACTAGGCAATAGTTGTTAGGTATCTAGGAAGGAGTGAAGAAACTGGAAAACTGTTCTGCACACATTAAAATCCAGCTTCTTACTGATAGTTCTACGTTGTCGTTGCGAAGTGTCGCGACAGTTCTGACTCATAGTGACCTTATTGGCCTCTGCAGAGTACAGCTGCCCCATAGAGCTTCCTAGCCTGTGCTTATTGCAGAAAAAACAAACTGCCACACCTTTCTCCCACGGAGCGGCTGGTGGGTTCAAACCGCCAACCTTTTGGTTAGCAGCTGAGTACTTAACCACTGCACCACCAGGGCTCCTTGATAGTGTATATAATTCCTATAAATTCTGGGGCTTATTTTTATTGCAATTAAAAATAATAGCAAGTGACCATTATATAATCCATTCAGTTATTTCTGGAGGAATTTTTTATCTTGAAGAACATCCAGACCATTTGTTTCTTCTCCTTGGCTCTCAGTCTTTCAGACATTTTACTGATCGCACGTCCCACTGGTGATGTAGAGAGAGCCTGTGGAGGGTACAGCAAGAAAGTTCACATTGGCATGTGTTTGTGGGAAGGGTTAGCTCAGCTGACCAAAATAAGCTTTGTTAGGTTATCAGTGGGTTTGCTTCCTCCCCAGTGTCTTGCCTCTGCCATCCCAGATGGTTGTCCTGCAGGAGCGTCCTGCTGAGCATAATATGAGTACGTTCCTCTGCCATCAGATACTCCAGAACCCTGTTCTAGAGTGCAGAAAGTGGCAGTGCCCTGGTTAAAATTCTTGATCCTTTTTCTGTGATAAAGAAGAGCATTTCCCAGACTGGGTTTTGCAGAACACTAGCCCCTTAAGAAGTTTTCTTAAAAAAAGGATTTGGGCCTCAAATTTGGTAGATTTCTCTATCACAAGGCATGCCTGGCCAAGACTCACAGAAGTTCTGGGATAAGGGGATCTGCTTTTCAACAAGTTTGGCTAACACCTGCTACCACCCCATGGGAAATACAGATAGATCATAATTATGGGTATAATAAAGCCCATTCAGAATTATCCCCAAATTGGCTAATACCTGTTGCCAGTCTGTGGGAAGTACAGATAAAAAACTAAAAAACCAAACCCCTTGCCGTCGAGTCGATTCTGACTCATAGCGACCCTATAGAACAGAATGGAACTGCCCCATAGGGTTTCCAAGGAGCTGCTGGTGGATTCGAACTGCTGACCTTTTGGTTAGCAGCCAGGCTCTTAACCACTGTGCCATTAATTTGTTTATTCCCCATTTGTTGTTGTTGAATTAGGACTCTGGTTACATCATTGCCCACCGTTGCAGGAGTCAGTTTGCTCAGAGTGACTTTATAATGTGAAGTGTATTCTTCGGCTGAGCAATACTGAGACTGATTCTTTATCAAGTGAAAAGGGAGAGATTAGTGGAGATTTCAAACTGTTTATCAGTAAAGGGCCAGGCGTGCCATGTACTTACGCTGCCACCTTGTGTAGGTTATTGAAATAGACAATTAACAGCCAAGACTCATAATGAAAACTTACCGAAGATTCGAAACCTTCCATACTGAATATTCTTCTTAAGAATGTTACTTGAGTAATTTATGTGCACCGAGAAGTTCTCATTTCAAGAAGGTTGCCTTGTCGTTTTTGCTACGTTAATTCTGTGGATGTTTAGAGTGGTGTTCGTATGGGGTCATATAGGGTCGCTGTGAGTCGGGATCGACCTGACAGCAATGGGTTTGGTTTTATTTTTTTGGTTCATATGGGAATCTGGTAGAGGAATGGGATTTCCTTAGAACAGTACTTCAGACCCCACAGAGAAATTGGATTGGATTGAAAGGGGCTCCGGGAGACAATTTCTTAAAATACGATGGAAAAAGATGTGAGTTGTATTTATGTACTGATGACTGTTGTGTTATTTTTCTCTATTTTTGAGGTGATTTGTGTTACTTTTTTGAAATGAGCATGTTTTTGCAAACTTCTGTTTGTAGGCATCGGAAACCCCAACCTTACGAGACCTTTCCTTCACCGTTAGGCCCCGTGAATTGCTAGCTGTGGTTGGACCTGTGGGAGCAGGAAAGGTAAGTTAAGTAAATGCCTTTTGGCAGCTTGATGCCACATCATATCCCACGTTAAATTCTTGGGTTTGAGACCAAAGCTATATTTAACACAATTTTGAACTGGGTAGATATGGAACAGCATTGCCCAAAGTGGGGTCCATGACACATTAGTTTTGCAGCAAGATTCCATGGCCAAGTAAGTCTGGGTGATGCATGTTATATTTTCCCAAGCTGCACAGTCAGGAAACCAGTGTCTACTAGTTAGACATCTCAGTGAGGCACTCACTTCTGTGACCAGTACCCAGGGATGGGATGACCTAGAGAGTGGGTACTTCTTTACGTCTTATGTGACCCTAGCTGCTACAGGTCGTGAAGGCCCTTCTGAAGAGCTGTCCATGTTTCCTCATGTGACTTACCCAGCTCACGTCAGCGTGCATTTAGGGAGCAAAGGACACAGATAGAAGCAAGACCCCTTTGCCCTCTAGAAGCTCCCAGGCTCTTGGGGAGGCAGAGATGCAAACAGATTATTTCAGTTGAATGTGATACACGCCGAGAGTGGTATGCACAGACGTCACACGTGTGTGTTGTCAGAGATCCGATGGGAATGTACGCACGCACAGTTAATCGCCTTCGTTCTGAACCAATGACATACAGAAATCTAAATGTAGGATGTGTGTTTGGGAGGGTGTTTGTTTCTTTCATAGTGGATGTTTGCTCTTCGGAATCATGAATTACTTCAGAGGTCCTTTAAAGAGCAATTGTTCCTAGTGCATGGGATGTATTTATGTGTAGCTCGGAGCCCTGGTGGCACAGTGGTTAAGCATTTGGCTGCTAACCAAAAGGTTGGCAGTTTGAATCCACCAGCCGCTCCTTGGAGACCTTATGAGGCAGTTCTCCTCTGTCCTGTAGGGTCACTATGAGTCGGAATTGACTTGACAGCAACAGGTTGTTTTTGGTTTCAGAAACAAAGGCTATTTGGATGCAGGAACCAACTGCATTACATATCAGTGTATGAAATAGGGGCCACTGTGTTACTGCAAACATTCTTAGTCTTCGTTCAATACAGCATTTCATTTGGGGGAAACTCTTTGGGGCAGAGTAGACTGTTATGCTCTATTTGGTTGTTATTCTTTATATAAAGCTTTAGTTCACATTGACCAACAGAGCTATTTTCTGTTTCTTATTACGACTTCCAGTGCTGTCATTTTTCCTGTTTCACACGAAGGGGCTATAATGTGTATCCAGCAGGCAGGGCTGGGGAAGGCTGTGTTGTGCTGTCCTGTCCTGAGTGTTCACGGTACACGTGTTCCTTTCTGATCTGTTTCAGTCATCACTGTTAAGTGCTGTGCTGGGGGAGCTGCCCCCCAGTCAGGGGCTGGTCAGTGTGCACGGAAGAATTGCCTATGTTTCCCAGCAGCCCTGGGTGTTTTCAGGAACTGTGAGGAGTAATATTCTCTATGGGAAGAAATATGAAAAGGAACGATATGAAAAAGTTATAAAGGCTTGTGCCTTGAAAAAGGTAAGTTAATGACTTAGTGAATTTCATAGACTCAAAATCAGCTAGTGTTAGTTTAAATTACAAGGTTTGTTAAAACTGTTGTTTTATTTTAAAAGAGCCATGAAAGTTATTTAGTACTTTTTAAGTTCATCTTCTGGGTTAACACACTCACAGGCACACGCTGCTGTTTTAATCCTGATGCGATGTTGACATTCACAGAATGCTGTTTTGGTTTCCTGTTACCAAGTTTTGCTCACTCTTAAGTTTTTTTTTTTTTTTTTTTTTTCAATTTATTGTTGAAAATATACACAGCAAAACATACACCAATTTGACAGTGACTGCATATACAATTCGGTGACATTGATTATTTTCTTCAAGTTGTGCAACCATTCTCACCTTCCTTTCCCGAGTTGTTCCTCCCCCATTAACGTAAACTCACTGCCCCCTAAGTTTCTTATCTAACCTTTCAAGTTGCTATTGTCCGTTTGATCCCATATAGACAGTTCTTAAAAGAGCACAGTGCTCAAGGTAGGCATTCTTTATCAGTTAAGCTAAACTGTTATTTGATTTGAAGATGACTTCAGGGGATATTTTTGGTTAAAGGTTTAAAGATGATCTCAGGGCAGTAGTTTCAGGGGTTCGTCCAGCTTCCATGACTCCAGAAAGTCTGGATTCTATGAGAATTTGAAGTTCTGTTCTGCATTTTCCCCCCTTTGATCAGGATTTTTCTATAGAATCTTTGCTCAAAACATTCAGTTGTGGTGGCCAGGCACTAAACTGTTTTTAAATGGACAGAAAAATTTGCAAAAGTAAGAATAGTGTAATGAACCTTCATGTATCCGTCACTCATCTTCAACCTTTCTCAGCTTGTGGCTGATCTTGTTTCATGTATAGCCCTGCCCTCTGCTTAAAAAAAAAAAACAAAAAAAAAACCCAAACCCGTTGCCATTGAGTTGATTCAGACTCATAGTGACCCTCTAGAACAGAGTAGAACTGCTCCATAGAGTTTCCAAAGAGCAGCTCATGGATTTGAACTGCCAACCTTTGAGTTAGCAGCCAAACGCTTAACCACTGCACCACCAGGAATCCGCCAGCTGCTCCTTGGAAACCCTTTGGGGGCGTTCTACTCAGTCCTGCAGGGTCACTATGAGCCAGAATCGACCTGACGGCAACAGGTTTGGTTTTGGGTTTTTTTTTATTTTATTCTCTGCTTACTCCCCTCCCCCCGAATTATTCTGAAGCAAATGCTAGACCTCATGCCATTTCACCTGTAAATATTTTATTATATATCGCTAAAAGACAGAAACGCCTTTGTAAAAAAAAATACCACATTATCACACCAAAAAATGATCTCAAATCCCCTGTCATGGTTTGAATTATGTCCCCCCAAAAATGTGTATATCAGTTTGGCTAGGCCATGATTCCTGGTACTGTGTGATTTTCCTGTATGTTGTAAACCTGCCTCTATGATGTTAATGAGGGAGGATGGGCAGCAGTTGTGTTAGTAAGGCAGGACCTGATCTACAAGACTGGATTGTGTCCTGAGGCAACCTCTTGAGATATAAAAGACAGAAGTGAGCGGTGAGACAGGGGGACCTCATACCATCAAGAAAGCAGTGCCAGGAGCGGAGCGTGTCCTTTGGACAGGGGTCCCTGAGCAGAGACGCTCCTAGTCTGGGGGAACATTGATGAGAAGGCCGACAGAGAGAGAAAAAGGCTTCCCCTGGAGCTGATGGCCTGAATTTGGACTTTTAGCCTACTTTACTGTAAGGAAATAAACTTCTCTTCGTTAAAAGCATCCACTTGTGGTGTTTCTGTTATAGCAGCACTAGATGAAAAAGACAGAACGGGACTAAATCCCCGAATATCAGCATCTTTCCAGCCAGTGTTTACATGTCTCTCACTATTACATGGAGACGTGCTTTTAACAGTCTGTTTGAATCAGAATTCAGATGTGGTCTGCCCATTGCACTTGGATCATCTTGATATGTCTCTCAGGTCTTTTTCAGTCTGTAGGTTTCCCTCTCTACCTCGTTTTTACTGGCAATTTAGTTTTTGAAGAAAATGGAACGTTTTAAAATTTCTTTTCAATGCTGCATAATTTCACTAGGGGGAGAGTTTATCGTTTTCAGAAATGACATCAAGTTTGGCAGAAAATGGCAAGATGAAATGTTTAACTGTATCTGATGATACACAGTTAAATAAAATAGGCGTGTGATGAGAACAGAACGTACCTGATAGGACGTATGATTTAGCAAAAAAGAAAAAGGTAGTAAATACTGATATTTATTTGGCTTCAGGGGCTGGCAGGCTGTCCTCTCTGTTACTTTCTTTGGGTTGTAAAATCAGTGAATAATAAGCCTTAAAGGGCTCTCCACAGGGTCTGTTCAATGCAGTCTGGACATCCGACTGTTCTTTTATACTCTGAGGAAAATGCTAGGACAGCCTCGAAAAGGTGTGGTGTTGATGGCTGGAAACTAGCTTTGTGAAGAAATAGTAATTTTGTTTGACCAGTAGCTTGAATATCATAGATTGTATCAGATGAGTAGTGTTTTACAATGATGCAGACAAAAAATAATTGCTTGTTTAATGGAATTTCCTCCCTTCTCGGGTTATTGTTAATGAGAG